TGCTGAAAATTTCTGAGAGCTTTAAGGTTTTCCTAAGCTAGAAATTGAACCTGGAACACTGCTAGGAAGGAGAACAAATAAAGCAATCCCAAACAGTCGAGCTTTGCACCCTTATAGCTAGGACACATACATCCTATGAAACATGAAGCAGAAAATCTTAAGAAAATTATTAAAAATTAACTTGAGAAGTTCCAGAATTCTAGAACTTCAGGTCATACAAATTCTGTCCTATGTCAGAGTAATAGTTAAACCTGTAAATGCAATTACTAAATCTGAATTTCAAAAAGGCACTTTTTTCCTAACCCAAGGAATCAAAGGAGTCAGTCAGCATTTAGAACAACTGGCTATGTCATTTTAGATGCTACTAGCCTAATGTTAGAGATGGAGATTTATCACCACAAACTACATGAAATAAAAATTCTACACTTATCACAAATTACCTATTTATTTTACAGACATTTTTGAACCCTCCGTCACCAAATAATCACAAAGGTTACTACAGAGTAGAGGGAGTAAGAAGGAAGTGTTATGCATCTCTCTTCATCTTCATTTTTCAGTAACATGTAATTCCAAGGTTAACTACTACAAAAAGGTGATAGTACTGTGGACTCCCTTTGCGCTTGTGTAACATTAAACTGATTCAATGCAAGTATAATTCAATGTCTCACTTAAAACAGCTTTGTGCCTCAAGGACTTTCCAGCAGACTCCTACAGGTGCTCGTTCACAGAACAGGCAAATCAAAAGTTTAGTTATAATAACAGGGTGAGTCAGTATAGAACAGCAGAAAACACAAGAATAGCATCACCACTCCAACAGCAAGACATTCACTGTGTGCGTTCATGCCTTTAGTTGGGGAAATGGGAGTCAAACAAAGATTAAGCAACTATCCCTACCATCTGATCATGAGTCAGGAACACAAGAATGTCCTCTTGGCTCAAAGTCATCATCTTTAATCACTACAAATACTCCCTCCCACCAAACATGACAAAATAGTAAGAGATTTAATTGGAGAGCATATAGAGGTTCAAAACTTTTTCTTCTGTATAACATCAATTGCTAAGTAGGAAGACATATACATCTGTGTGAGAGGGGTTTTTTTTGTTATTGTTTACCACTCAAAAATACTTAAACAAGCCACTTACCAACCACCATCAGTGTGAATTCAAAGCCCTTCTTCACAGATTTCCTATGAACCTGGTTGGGCAGATTAGCGAACCCCACATAGCCTGCTGAGTCAGAAAACTGACAAGAAAACAAAAGTTGAGTATAAATGAGATCCCCTTCCCCCTAAAAAGTTGAAACACAGTTCTGTTAATTCTATACAATAAAGTCCAGAGGTATATAAAGCACATGGAAACATAGAGAATGAAACAATTTTTCGCTGCTATAGCAAGGCAGACCTTGTAACAGGCTCATTTACCAAGCAGTCTGATATAAATAGAAATCTGCTAAGTACCTTGGGCTCTGCCATAAACAAAAGTCTCTCCTTGGATTAAATAAATAAATAAAACTGCAAGCTTGCAAGAACACTCTATTATCAATCTCAAGCTGTAAACATAGCTAAAAATCCCAAACATTTTAAGCTAGCAGTCAAAAGTTTGGTTTCTGCTGTTACTGTATTCTATAAAAATAAATAATGCATACACTCACATGTAGAAAAACAAGAACATTGTACAGTAATGAAGAGATTATAAAGATACATTCACACAGAGATCTCTCTTCTGCTTGTTAAGCTATCTTCACAATGTTCAACTTCTAACAAAAAAAGCAGGAAAAAGAAGTGTGCCTGAATAACTTATCAGAGAGATGTGGGCTATAAAAAGGTCAGTCTGCTTTATCATCTGTTATCAATTGACTGAAAACCTAATAGGAGCCTAAACAAGAACTGCAGCCACTTGATTTAGGGACCTATGAGCTAGCTGGAACCAAATGTTTTCTTCACAGCTGAGTTCATGATGAGAACAGTTTTTATACAATACTGTACTTCCAGTGGGGCGGGGGGGGATACAGGGGAAATCACTTAAAAGGCAATTAGTTATTTGTTACCAATCCTTTTAAAAGCCACCGAGATGGGCAAAAAACATTAGAAATGAAGGTTTGTCAAACGAAATTTCCTTAGGTAAAGGCATCGTTCTAAATGTGTAAGCAAACACTGAATGTCTGGCAAACATCCGAAAGCCTATTACTAGAATCACATGCAAGCTCTGTTTCTACTAAACAGTTCCTTTTAAGAAACGCATCTGAAGCAATAAGGTATTGTTTATTCACTATTTTACCACTTCAGTAAAGCCACAAGTATTTTCAGAAGTTGAACAGATTCTAAACAAAATTTTGGCTGTGCAGCCATGTCTTTACCTTTACTTTTTCACCTGATTGAGACATGTTTCGTCACTCCAAGTTTCAGACACTGGAAAATAAAATCCATAGTGCACGTTAGCTGTTTTAAAACAAAGATTTTTTAAAAACTCAAAATACTAAAATTCAGTATCCTTAAAGATCTTTCATCCATCCTGTCTTTAAAGAAGGAAAAATATGGTTTACAAATAGGTGAATGTAATCTAACTGTTGTCCAAAAAATTATATTTGAGAATTATGACCAGATACAAAAATTATCCCAAGAACAGGAGACCTATGGAATTTCCAGGTAAAGTTTATAACATTATTTTCAATCACTCCAAAGTACTATTGCTGAATGTGAGCACTACACTGAACACTGCAGAACCTCAGCACTTGGCTAACCCATGCTGGACATGAAAATTCACCCTGATCTGAATGAAGGACTACAAACAAGATTTGTTCTTTAGTTCCAGACACCCAGAACAGCTGGGCTTTGGCAAGCCCTTATCTTTTACTCAAGGATGTTAGTTGTGCTATAGATTAGTTATCACAGCAATAGCAAGGCCCTTTTATTTAGAGCAGCCACAGAGCACTGACAGGAAACGCAGAAGTGGCAGGAGCACTTCACAGCTTGGTTTGTTGACAACACAGCTCTTGGCCTGGGAAAGCAGGGAAGTGACCTACGCAGGCACCTGTGTGTTCAGATAGAAATGCTTTCCTGTTGGGTAGCAGGACTCATTCTAGCAGGATACAGTCCAGTTTCTGACACCAGCAGTTTGACAGTCAAATCCTAGCAGAGAAATACTAAGCTTTGGACTAGAGGAAAACTCGATGTTAGCATAATTGCAACTTGGAGTTGTAAAGAAAACATGTCTTCAGCTTAAATGGCATTTCATTTGCCCTGAAGCAGGTATTTCAAATCCTGGCAGCTGTGTAGACACCAGCCACCGGGTCAGCAAGGAAAGAGTTTTTTTCTCCTCCAACTACTCTTCCCCCATATCTAGTTCATTTGCTTGCTAGTGACGGCCTGATACATCCATTGCGTGGAAAACAGGGAGGTCCTGATTCTAATCATCTTATAACTGCCTCTAATTGGGTATACCTCAAATCAGCCTGGGAAGCTTCCCTTAAGAATGGTTTTGAAAAAACAGAGCTTTTTTCTTTGACCAATACGCAAGGGCTCATTCTGGCCTGCAGCCAGTCAGTGTTACAGATCCCTAAAGACAGTCACAGCCTCACTGACCATGTAACTCACTGCTCTGTCCACATCTTGCTTCTATGTTTGGAAACCTCTGTTGTCACCTTTGTCTATAAATTCAGTAACATAATTCAAGAGTTTAGAAAAGTTCATAAACAGTCACTGTCTGAGGGCTGATGTAGACAGACCTTTGAGCCCATTTCTCATAGTAATGCCACATGAGAAGCCACCCACAGCAGCTGCCCATAGTTACAGGCAAGAAAGCTGCCTATAGTTAAAGGTGAGAAGGGGGAACAATTCAGATTTAAATATGTATGGCAAATTGTCTAATTACTCTGCTTTAAACTGAAGGTATAGTCACATTCATTGTAACATTACTCAAGCTACTTGATTAAAAAGCAAAGAGTCAAAACTGTCAACTGATTATGACACATCTGGCTTCAAAATTAGCCTGTCATCTCATAAAAAACTAAATTTACAATAAATCATTCCACAAACATGACTTACAAAGCCTGTTTCCTACTGAGCAAATCACATTCACCTTGTGTCTTACTCTGACCAAAAAGTTGCTGTAGCCAAAGCTGCAGGACAGCTGCCCTGATCACACCAAGACTGCAGCACATGCTTAAATGCCTGTGTACAACAAGCATCCTGTTAGTTACTTCCCATTGTATTTTGCTAGAATAGAAATATGCTAACTAAAAGTTAGCTGGGAAAAAAACCAAACAAACAAAACCCACCCTGCTCTTCCACAACACCTAAATAAAGCACTGAGGTTCAAATGAATCCTCCGTTATTCAGCTTCAATGCATTTTGCAATTCATAATGCTGCCCTCATGAGGTTTCCTAGAAAATTATTCAACCAGCCAACTTCCCCAGATGAGCATGAGCCATCTTCCTGAAGCTTTACTGTATCATTACCAATCAAAACCTTGGAATTAGCAAAATACCGTATGTTACATCTTCTTACGGCACCCAATAACCACAGAGCTTACAGCACTGCTTACAAGTGATAACTTGTCAATGGACCAGACTACGCTACGCATCAATGACTGCTGAAATCCTGAAGTCTGTCTGCATATAACTGTGCAAACAGTAAAATAATGTGAAGTTGAGTGTCTGACTAATACTCTGGATAGTGCCGCATCTGGAAACTGTAATGTTTCCTTTTTCATCAGGTTTCCATAATAAAATTTTTAAAAAAAAACACCAACCAAAAAAACAACTAAGGCAAAACAGAACATGCCATATCTGTTCCATTTTCATTAGATTTTCAAAGGACTATTTCAATCATTATGAGATGAGCAAAGCAGCACATGCAAAATATTCCAAAGAGAAAGGAAGAGATAAGATACTATTGCATTAACTTGCAAAAAGCAGTGCAGCTTTATTTGCAAATAATTGTGGGCCCCATTTAGCAGGTCTAGCAGAAAAAAAGGGACACTATGCTGCAGTATAGGAATGTTCAAATCAGTTTTTGAACCTCAGATAGCGTAACAAAGTTTCATTTTGGATCCCAACAAATTCCTATCCTAAACAAGGGAGCAGATCACCACTAAATTCAGTTATGGTTGCCTCCTCTACAAATACAGAGGCCGGGAACATGCCACCCTACTGCTTTCTGCTAAGAAAAGTATTCCAGTGGGAGAAAGAGAGAGGGGAAGGAAAATGGGTCATTTCCTTTGTTCCTGTCAGGATGCAAGAAGTAAACTGTTAGGAACAGGCAGGCTGGGAGCTTCTTAATAGGAACTAGCACAAAGAAAACACTATGAAAAATGTACAAAGAGTGTTTCCATATAAGGATATTAAACAACATTTTAAAATAATCACTTCAAAGTGACTTTAACAACCATCTCTACAAGCAGAAGAGCCCTCCTGATTAATCAAGTGAGGCCTCTTTCTTTCCATCTGAGATTATATAACTCTGATACTTTTTAAAAAGTTTTTAATAACTTAAGTCTTTAGTGCCTTCTGTGCTTCCTTAAGTAGGTTTCCAAGTGCTGGAAATGGTCTGAACAACACCGGCATTCTGTGTTGTGTCATTTTCAGACTTAAAGCAAACAGAGAAACACCAAGAGTATCTCAGTATAATACCAATATTTGTGGTTTCTCATAAGAACAGCTACAAAAGCCTACAAAGAAATGTCAGAGTCAAGTAGTGAGACACATAAATAATTTTTAAAAAAGTTCAGAACATCTCCAAATGTCTTGCATACAGAGAAGCAAGGAAGTTATGTGAAAATTAAAAATTTCCTCACTAAATTCCAAACTGGATATAGAGGTAGTATTCAAGTACAAAGCAGTTAACGTAAGCTACCAAAAAAAAAAAAGTTACCAAAGTTGTATGAATCACCCAACTCTATCAAACAACAGCAGGTCAAGCAGAGCCTGTTCCCTGTGTCATGCTTTGTTCATAGCTAGTCCTCACCTCTCATTGGAAACCCCCTCCCAGAAGCTCCCAGGGAGAAGCGTTACTCCCTCCATATCAACAATCCCAGGCAATTCCATTTTCCTCATTAGAAACAGATGTTATCAGTTGAATGAATCCTCTCTTACACATTAACAATTGAATAAATTTCTGCATTACTCTTATTCGGGAAGATGACTGTATCACTTCCAACAAACATAGAATTTAACAGTAAATGCAACAATAAGAAACCCAGTTGTGGCACCTGCAGGAAGACCAAGCTGAGTGTACGCCACTGCTTTGTCTTTGAATTAGTATGCGGTGTTCGCAAGTTTTACAGACTTAGTTTTGATAATGTATTTGAACCAATGACACACAATATAGATTATTATTGGAAATGCCTTGCTGTTCATCAAAACTAGTCACATTTCTTGTGTCCTTAAAAATTCTGTTATACTTTGGTGACTTGACAGCACACATATGCACAGCAAAGGGAGACAAGAACTAAGCAAGTAAGAAAGAAGAATCACATATGAGCACTGTTCTTAAAAGGAAAAGGTCTAAAAAAAAAAGCATGAATCTAGAGCTCTAATCCTAAATATTTTATTTAAAGTTTCATTTCAATGTTAACATATTACTCTAGACAGCTTTCTTACAGTTATTTCAGCTAATACAGTCACTGAAAGCAGAAAGGCAGCAGTGATACCATTCATATTAACAATGAGTCTTAGCAATTATGTACTTCCTACCCAAGCAGCTTTTAAGAGTATTTTCCCAAAGTTACCGTATCAGAGAAAAATACTGTAAAACAGACTTGCAAACGTGAAAAGCAGGGGCTTTCTTTACATTAAAAAGCAAAGCATATTCGCCATGATCAGTCACCAGGAAACAGGCAGCTCTGCCTCACACCCACAAAGCTTAACTATAATTGTGTACATACTGGCAACGCATAGCAAACAGTGCTAAGGTAGTATTTTAAATCCCACGATTCCACACAGTCTCTAACCTGCATGTAAATAATAATTTAAGACCTAAAAAAAAAAAAAAGTAAAGCAATTATTCTGTCTGTTGCCAAGTCAGGTATGCATCGTTCTGTGCAGCGGTGGGCTCTGCGTTGCTCCCGCAGCACCCCCCGGTTCCTAGCAGCTGCCCACGCTTCGTGTTGCAATTTTAAAAACATCTGAGGAATGCCCACTGGAGACAGAACCTTCCCGCTCCTCTGGCTACGCTATGCCGGGCAGACCCCAGCAGCACAGAGGCCTGGTCCCCATCTCAAGAGCAAGGCGTGCTCGGGTGCCCAAACGGGGGCGCG